AAAAAGAACCAGCAAGTGCAATCTCATTAATTGATTCTGAAATGTCAACACTCACGAAGAAAGCTAATTATGGAAGTATATTTTCTTCATACCTTGAGGAAGGTGATTCACAGACACATTAGTCTCTCTTCATTAAAAAAAATAATAATAATACCAATTGGTGTTCTGGGCCAAAAAGAAGAGAACAGAGGAGGAAACCATGTGGACAACCACAGGCCCAATCTACTCCCTCTGTTATGACCACATACATGGTGGTCCATGGGGCAGGATCACAGAGCCTGGGTTGGGTCTGAATGTCTTTTCCTAGGAGCAGGCATTTAGTCCAGTGGTTAATATGCTCACATTGCTTGGGCTCAACTTTCACCTCTGGCTCCTAATTTTATCTTTATTGCCAGTGCAGATCATGGAAGGTAACACTGATGGCTCAAAGGATATGGGTTCCTTCTACATGTGGGACCTGGACTGAGTTCTTGCCTCTGTGCCCTGGCCTGGCCCCAACCACTGTGGAAGTCTTCTCCTGGCTTGACTCTCAGATAAATTTAAAACCCAACAACCAAATTTCTAATATCAACTTCTAATATCAACTTCTTTCAGACAAAATGAATTCATTCTTTTAAAAGATGATTTCAAAATCATAGCCACAGGGGCCAGCATGGTGGGTATAATGGTAAAGCCACCTGTGATACAACATCCCATATAGACACTGGTTCTTGTCCTCTGTACTCCACTTCCAATCCAGATTCCCAACAATGACCTTGGAAAAGCAGTAGAAGCTAGCCCAAATGTCTAGGCACCTGCCACTCACCTGAGAGACCAAAATTAAGATCCCAGCTCCTGGACTTGGGGAGTGAACTAGCACATGGAAGACTATTTCTCTTTATCTATTCCTCTCTAAATCTGACTCCCAAACACATTTTTTTTTAAGAGTCACAGCAGCAGAGGAGGAAACGATGCTGCATTCCAACAATGAGTAAGCAGAGCTTCAATGAACACTTCAGCTTCTGGTTACATGCTTTAAAGCCATGTGCTTTGGAGGCAAAATACATTAATCCAGCCTTTCAACATGAATAGTAAGAGCAGTCATCATGTGTTGGGTGCTCGCCACAGCCTGCCACCATGCGAAATATTTGAGGAGGATTAGCTAATTAAACACGCAAAAACAGTGCTATGCAGTAGGTACTGTTATTATTTCCAGACTCTTACACCAAAGTCAGCGCTCCGAACAGCTGCCGCAGATTCTCTGAGCAGCAAGCTACCCTCATTCACAGCACACAGATGTGAGGGCTGGAAAATCAGTTACTCATCTCTGAATCTATGTGTCTATATTCTAAGGGTCATTCTACAGTAGAATAGTAGTGTTTGCTCAGCCTCCCTGTAAGTGTAAGGAAATCAAGTTCAGAGAAAAAGGCATTATAATTCCTTGGAATATTTCTATCAACTCCCCCCTCTCCACCCCAACTGTGATGGTAGTGGAAAGAGGCAGAGCGGGCCAATCCTGTGTTAAAAGTATGATTGCTCATAGATGCTTTAGGAGTAAGCCTGGGGAGCTGCAACAGAAGGCCAACAAAACAAAATATCCCTGAAATGGATCTAGTATAAAATCTAACCCTCTAGTTTTAAGATGCAAATGGAGGTGCAGAGAAGCTAAGAATTTTTCCTAGAGGGAATGTGCTTTAGCCTAGTGGTTAGAACACCCATGTCTCATGCAGGAATGCCTAGCTTTTCTCCTTGCCCTCAACTCCAGCTTTCTGCCAATGCACACCCTGGGAGGCAACAGGTGAACCAAGTAACCAGGTCCTTGCCATCAATGTGGGATATCTGGACTGACTCCCCAGCTCTCAACTTCAGTTTGAGTTTCAGTCTCCATCAAAACGGACATTTGGGAGTGAATATGTGGATGGGAGCATTCTCTCTCTCTCTCTCTCTCTCTCTCTCTCTCTCTCTCTGCCTCTCAAATTACTTAATCAAAAACATTTTCAAAGATTTTTCCTGGAATTACCTAATGTGATCATAGATCTCCTAATGATTACTCCAGAACTCCTTGTATTTTTCCGTCTTGTCTTCTGGCTTTAAAACAGAAGACACCCAAAACAGAATGAGCCAGGCTGGGGAAACACAACATTGCAGTGAGCAGACATGGTCCAGGCATCATCATTTAATGTTCTTCCTTGTGGAATGAGATGTCCCCAGGTTGAATGCGCTCTGTTCTTAGGACAATGGTGCTCTTTGTAACTGTGTTCCTACCACAGGTTCTCCTCCTGCATTCGTTTCTTCCTTCATCTCTTGTGAGGCACAGGTTTCCTGAAAACTATTCATCCCAGTAGCCAGAAACACAAAAATTCTTGTATATGCATTTGTAAGTTACATGTACAAAACCAACAGGCAGACATGAAGTAGACAAGTTTAGTTCTCATCAAGGATTTGTTATCTTTGCTGAAAGGTCAACATCACGGTTACCTTAAAACTACAGTTTTTGTCACCTACTCTGCTTGGGGCTTTCTGAGGATCCTGCTGTCACACAGCTTATCTATATCTATATGAGCAGTAGGGCTCTACAAAACCCACCTGCCTGTGCTTCATTTCTACTCCATCCACAGAGGACAGAGGTTCCATGCTTGCTTGAACAATCTCACCCCAAATCACACCTTTATTATGCTTTAACTCATGCCTTGCTTTATCTTAATCATGACATTAGATGCCTGATGTCACAGTACATAATGTATTTTTATTATGTTGTTCATCGTCCACTTTTTAGAATGTAGGGCGACAGGGTTTTTTCCTTTTTGCTCACCATTATATTACTACTATAAAGAATTATACTTCTGTGATCAATATATTATGGGCTACTATGTTGTTTAGAAATAGTTTTAAATTTAGCAGAATTTTAAAAGGCAAATTTTAAAATTGAAATCAATATATACAAGTGAACCTAACCATGTCAGAACATTAAATTATATCCTAATGATCTGAAAGACATAGAATTATTTCCTATGTTCCTATGACATCATAGGAAATAATTTCAACATCATACTTTGATCAAAAACTTGTAGCAAGATCTAACCTGAGGATAAATATAAGTTCAACCAAAAATTGTTGAAACTAATTTGAAAGTTTCTTGTTGTCAAGGGTACTGATTCAGAAATTCTGAAACCACTTTGGATATATTATAGGATTGAGCAAAGCAGTGAAGCTGTCATAAACCCAAGTCCTTAATGTGGGGAAGGATGAAGTATGGAAGAAAGGAGCAGAAAACCCTGTGCTGTGCTGTTGAAATTACACATATCAGGGCCAGTGTGGTGGCATCACAAGCTAAGCCTCTCCCTGTGGCACCAGCATCCCATGTGGGCATCAGTTGAGTTCAGGCTGCACCACTTCTGATTCAGCTCCCTAGTTACAGCTTAGGAAAGCAGCAGAGTCTGGCTCAAGTCTTTGGGCCCCTGCAACCATGCGAAAGAAACAGAAGAAGCTCCTGACTCCCAACTTTGGACTCACACAACCCCAGCCTTTGAGGCCATTTGGAGAGTGAACCAGTGGATAGACTGTCTGTTTGTCTATCTCTCTCTCTCTCCCTTTCTCTTTCTATATCTCTGCCTTTCCAATAAAAATTCTCAAAATCTTTCTTTAAAAAAAGAATTATAACCACCAGTGTGGGGTCATTTTGTTTCTCAATTCCGCAAAGGTTAAAAAATCAAATGGCATCCCTATGGCAAATGAGCACACAACGTCCCAAGGACTTGGTTTTTAAATACCTGTGTCTTGTCTTTTTTTTTAATTTATTTTATTTTTATTAGAAAGTTAAATATACAGAGAGGAGGGGAGACAGAGAGGAAGATCTTCCATCCGATGATTCACTCCCCAAGTGAGCGCAATGGCCAGTGCTGTGCTGATCAGAAGCCAAAAGCCTGTAGCCTCTTCTAGGTCTCCCACATGGGTGCAGGTTCCCAAGTGCTTGGGCCGTCCTCGACTGCTTTCCCAGGCCACAAGCAGGGAGCTGGATGAGAAGTAAGAACCGGCGCCCATATGGAATCCTGGTGCATGCAAGGTGAGGATTTTAGCCACTAGGCTACCATGCTTGGCCCTCATTTTTTAAAAACAAGTGGGGTTCTTTGAAGTCTTGATGCATTCCAAGGCAACAGAGATACATATCTGTGCCAAAAATAACCAAGGAAATGCTTAAAGACTACGGGGATTGTCAGACAATACAGGAGTCACCTTGAAGGGATTCCCAGTAATCAAATTTGAAACTACAGAAGCCTCAAAAATAATAGTGATGGCAATAAATTTTAACAAATCAAATCGAAACATCCATGCATGAGTCCACAGTGATATAAAAGTGCATAACAGAGACAACGTGGAAGGAAAGATCTTCTATACAGAAGAATGTCTGATGATAGCTACAGAAAGATGAGTAAGGTTGCCATTCCGTCAGTGCACTAACTGATGCTGGTAGGGACCCTCAACAGACACTAACATTTCTGAGAGACATACATGGGCACACAGATGTTCACAGTCTGATTATCTATTAATTATGCACAGAAACAGGTGCTTTACAATACTGAAATCTTGCAGAAACTTAGCAGCCAAGTGAGGCAACTTTAGCATTCTGGATGAGGGGCAAACTGACGTTATGTCCCGCCTGGTGGGATGTAATAGAAAATACATAGCACTGTCTTATGTAGAAACATTGCACACAATTTTGACTGAGCAGAGAATTGGACATTCAAAATATGGGTTCTTCTACAAGGCACCTAGGTTAGATGCTCAAAGCCCTCATCATGAATAACTACAATAAACGCATGGAGCTGAGACATGACCACTCACTGGACACATGAAACAAGCCCAGTTTTTCACAATACATGACGGGGACAATTTGGAGATAACAGAATTCTGAAAATGGGCTGGAAGATGATATCTATTTAAATGAACAAAGCTCAACTCTCATAGTGTATTTCAGTCTTAAGAATGCTTGAAACACATCAAAATACATGATTTTAACTCACCTCCCCAGAGATATAAAATTCATTCCTGTTATATTCAGGAAACAAGTGAAAAAACTGATTTAGAGCACTGTAAGAAAAAAGGACAACAATAAAAATTAATCAAGAAACTGAATCAGAAGCATTTCACATTATGTTCCTACCTCTAACCCCTTGGCATTGGGTCTCCTAGCTGAAATAAGAAACCCTTGTGCTGTGAGCCTCTGTGGGACACTGTCTTTGTCTCCTGTGCATAATACACATCTCGTGGAAGGTCAGAAAGCACCTGTGGGCCTTCTGTGAGATGGTGAAGTTATCCAAGTGGGCCATCAAGACCGAGTGCATGCATACTCTGGTTTCTCTTCAGACCATATAAATCTTTCGCCTTTTACAAAAGACTGAGTGCATGTCTGTGTTTTGGGGTGGCTAATTTGGAACACTGGGTTCCAAACACTGGTGGGTATTTGATGCAAAGGATACTGAACTGCTGTTATTCAGGGGGTCTCAGAGGTGACTTTGCAAACCTTATGGCCCCACTAACCCAACTTTGAACTGAGATGAAGAGAAACCTACTTGCTTACCAATTGCTACGGTGGGGAACTCTAAACATTTCTAAATGGGCTTCCAGAAAATCAGGATCTTAGTAACTTCATGAACAGGAAAGCCCCATGATAACTATCATCTCCTGGGAAACCAATGAATGGGTGGTGAAGTAAATCTACAGTTTCCTCCCAGGCTCAAAATAGTCAAATTTAGCAAAGAATGCTAACAGCCACTACAGTGAGCTATGCTGACAGATTTAAACAGACTGAAGGAATTATTTCATAACCAGCAGGAAAGACATGGCTTTTTGAATGACTCTCTACTTGATCAAAACCTTTCAAAAACGTCTTGTGCAACTCAGACGTTCTGTGAGTGTGGTGACCCAGCTTTCCAGGCCAGAGAGGCTGGGGATGGTTGCATCCCAGCTCCCTGCAGAGGGAAGAAAAGCCATGAGCCATCAGGGAAGATGAAAGGCACCGAGAATCTGAAAGCCCAGGGGGAAGAAAAAGTTCAAGGATTACAGGGAGGCAAACTTGGGTCATATCTATTTCAACAGCCATAATGCTGGCTATACTTAATTTTCAAAGGTTCCATAAAAATTAGCCCAGAAACACGACAGAGAGTTTTGGCGTAGTTGTCTATTATTTATAGTGGCCTTTGTAGCAACCCAATCTGGGAAGCTGCACTGTATAACTTCCATGTTAACAGTGGCAGTGAGCTGGTTTCGGAGCCGAGATAAAAATAGGTCTCCTTCTCCACCCTTCCCTCCGCAACTTCCAGGCTGAACTGACTTCCTTTCTACTCTTCCTGCTTGTTGGAAAGGCGAGAAATATCACAAGAAATATCAGGCCAGCCTTGTTCTCTGGCTAGATGTCTGTTTCCTTGTCGTATCTGTTGGGAGAGTCACTGGAGTTGCCAGACTGAGCAAATTAAAAATGCAAAATGTTCAATTAAATTTGAATTGCAGATGAAAAAAAATACGGTCATGGTGGTACCAAATATTACATGGAATAGACTTGCATTAAAAATTTTTGTTACGAATTGCTTATGTGAAACTTGAATCTAACTTGGCATTTTTACTTTATCTGGCAAACTTACCTGCAGGACAGAATTGCTCAGGATAATTCTGACTTCAAAATGTCAAGATTCTGTAGCTATAAAGTTTCCAAGGCATTTGTTCATTTAATTATATTTTACTCAAGGCCTGTTATTATATGGTAAGAATCTACTGCAAAATTGGAATCTAGAATCATGTTCCCCTGAAATTTCAAATCTTAAAGACAGAATTGCTGAAAGATATACTATGCAACATACAAGTGTGTGTGTGTGCCTGAGTGTGTGCATGCATACACACACACACACACATGCCCTCCAAGCATTCACCCAGGTACAAGAGCCACCTAGCATGAGAGCCAGCCCTCCACCAGATAGCTGCATCTGACAACGTGGCAGCAGGATGCCAAGGATTTGTCTCACAGATCCACAGAAAGATAGCAGAGAAGAATGTCAAGCAGGAAGGTATTCCTCAGAGCATGTTTTTGAAAAAGCAAGTTGGGTTATGCAGGGCAGAGAAGGTGGGAAAGCAGGCAGGGACCACCAGGTCCTGTAGACTCTCAGTCAGCACTAGGATTCAGTACTAAAGGAGTCAGAATCACAGTCCACATGAAAGACATTCAGGAGCATGGAGGTTTGATTCCTCTAAGCAGAAACCCCAGGCCAGCACCCACTGAGCAGGTGGAGCTACAGAGGCCTGAGGTGCCTTGGCCACAGAGACCATGGTGGTACAAGAGGGCAGCCTCTAGAATACTCATCCCACACTGACAGCATCCGTGCCATGGTCTTCTCTGCCTTGCATGGATCGCAGCACCCACTTGGCTGTGACACCCACTTCACTTAGACAAATGTCATTTCCGATCACACTCCAGCACAGACAGTGGAACTACAGCAGCACCCCCACTTGGCTGCTAAGAAAGTTGGATCAGGTGCATGACCGGATGGCAGGCACCAGGAGAGCAGGGGCTCTGCATAGAGGGAATCAACTCATGGATGCCACAGCACTGAAAGAATTCTGCAGAGTGCTCAGCTAGAGCAGGTAGGGTTGGGTTCGTTAAATACACTGCGAGGCAACAGCGGCAGGCAGTGAGGACAGTGAGAGGTTACTAGCTGCTGGACACAAAGGACAGCTAAAAGCTGTCACCTGCCGAGATAGGCACCAATCATTGGGGCAGGGAAGACTGCCGCCATTGACTAGGGGCCTTTTCTGTCACCCCTGAGTCCCTCGTTGCTGGCGATTTTCTCTTGTGACTTCATTACTGCTAAGTGCTCAGGTGACCTCTGCCCTTCAGGCATTGCACACTGTTATGTCACCAGCACTGACAACAGCACTCTGCACATGGCAGGCCACCCATCAACAGGAGGAGGAGAGCAGCTCCAGCTTGTCTACTCCAAGTCAAAGCTAATAAAATAATGGTTTTTCAGTATTTTTTCCCCTAAACCAGCAGCTCTGCAAGCCTCACAGCCCATTTCAACTAAGAAGCAAAGGATGAAATTATTATGTAAACGTCATGTTAGCATGAGTGTTTCATTTCTAAACACAAAAGAGAGCAGCATAAATGTGTCTGCAAAGGCGCCTTCTCAGGGCCAGGTGCTGAGTTAATAGTCACAGTTTGGATGGTCAGGAGAAGAAAAACAGCTTTCCAAAGAAGATGGAAGGCTGAACGTTACACCTGTAGTAGCTCACTGACAGGCTTCAAAGGGATCTTCTTACTGAAAATCCCAATGTGGAACCCTGGGGAGGGGATGACTTACACGAGGAGAAGAATGGTATAAACCAGAAACAGGATGGCTGGACCCAGTTTTCTGCACTGGTGAGCACTGATGAGCTATTGAGCTATTTTCCAGTTCTAAGAGCCTGAAGCAAAAAAGAACTGAGACAGCTATAAACAATGGATGCTTTGAAATGAGCTCTCTTTACATGTCAGGCAAGGGGAGATGCGCCACATGTCAGTGGCAAACACCCACATGTGGGGCCACTGGCTGCTGTCCCCATCTTTGGGAGGAAGGAGGGGGAAACAGGGAAACAGCAGCAGAGCAGTTGGTCGAGGCACTGTCTACCAGGGGACTGATGCATTTCCTTAACCCGGGACCTCTGCCCTCAGGGTGTCTGCTCAGTTAACAACTGGGCTTGTTTGGATTTAAGCCGGAAAAGGGGCTGGGGCTGGAGGAGGAGTGGGTTTCCAGTCGGAGGAAAAGAACAGTAACACAAGGAGGGTTTCAAAGAGCTCCTGGAAAACAGAGCTAAATGATATTTACTTTGGTACAAAAAAAGGTTTTGAAACCCAATGCATACAAATGGTCTCCTGAAAGTTCTTGGGGTAGGCCTATTGTGGAAAAAAAAACCCTATGAATAAATTTAAACATGTTTTCCACCGCAAGAAACATCTTTCCATTCCACTTTTCATGAATTTTTGAAGTGCTCTTTTAAATGAGAGCTTGGGTCTGCTGTGATGGCAGTGGTCACAGTCCTGTTCCCATGGAGAGGAGTAGGGGGACAGCCTGTGAGGACTTGGCTTCCATGTTTCCACGAGGCACTGTACCTGAAGGTTGACATGTGGGTGCTAAAACTGCAGCGAGGTGTTTATACCCTGGCATGTGTGCAAAATGCAAATGGAAACAAACATTGTTGTATTCTTCTGTGGGTCAGCAGAGGGAGACAGACATTTGGGGCAGGCTGAAAGCTGTGATCAGAAGCTCTGACTTAGGTTAGACATATTTGGGGGTGGGCTGGCTTTGCTCACCCAGGATGCAGCAGAAGCCACTGAACTTCAGTGAAGGTGGGGGATGGCCACTGGGGCACTTTTGGTGGGTTCTTGGGATACACAGTGGTGCCCTAGTGATGTGAAGGGACTCAGGACATGACCCCTGGTGGTAATTTATAGACCGGAAAAATCTGGTGGTAAGAAAAGGTCACTCAACTTTTTAAAGAATGTACCAAAAATAGCTAAGATGGATGCAAGAAGAAGGAAGAAAGAAACTCAGTACACACTGCTTGACCAGGCTTACACCCTCACAATTTTCCTCTTTTTTTTTCACAAATGACATAGAAAATCTAATAAGTTAGATTTTTCCTTCATCTGAAAAAAGTCAGAAGGCAAGCCAGGCTTTCAGCTTTGGATAGTCATGAAGGAGAGACGAAAAGAGGACTCCTAGGAAAGGAGGAGCAGCTATCTGAGCAGATGTCTCCCAGCAAATGCAAGCTAAGTGCATCTTCAGAACAGCAGCAGAACCCTGGCAGGCACCTGCTGGAACGCGCTGAGCAGTCATCTTCAGTGGAAAACTCCAGCTCTGCCTCCACTGCTTCTTACAAGGGAGTGGTCTGCGACACAACCAGGATGCTCTGCTGCTCCTTGACTTTTCCCTGCTGGCAGCTTGCAATATTCTCCACGATAAATGGAACAAAATGGAAACTGTGTGTGCATGTACTCATGCACGCCTGGTGTACAAACAGCCTTCAAAATTGAACTAAGACTCGTTTTCATGTAAATACTCCTCATATCCCTGGCTTATATTGCTGATAAACTGTGGTCTTTTTATTTGTCGGACTCTGTATTTAGCAGAGCATTAAAAGCTCTGGCCTGTGATGTAAATTATTAAAAATGCTATCTCAAACATTTTAAAAAAATGATCAGTAATAATGAATTGTCCTGTTGAGAAAGTAAAGTATTTGGCCTGCAGGGACCTAAGAGAAAAAGCATTGTACCTGTATAAATCTTTTGCCACATCATCTTCATTAACTGCATAGCCGCGGCTGTCTTGCGTGAAACTGAAGCCTGTGCCCACCTATGGGTGAAACAAATGAACACAGAGGCATGCACACAGGGAATCCCATGTCATGGGTGTTTTGGGATGGAGCCCAGGCAGAAGGGGACCTGACTCCAAAGCCAAGCCTTTACCATAGGGGCTTTGCTATCACCTCCTGGGCCTCCTGTCACCCCCACAGGAGGAGACGAAGGCTCTCACCCCCTCGCAAGCCCCAGTGGAACAAAAGCACTGCAGAGGTCAGAGGTTGAGCTGTCCTCATTCCTCGGTGGGGACCCTGCCAGATGTTGACTCAAAAAAGAACTCCCCTCTGCCTGTACCCTGTGACCCTAAACTGTCTCCTCTCTGAAGCCCGGCAATGCGTGATTCTAGCCTGCTAAGGTGGAACCTGCGGGGCTGAGGACTGCAGGGAGTTGTTTGGGGGCTGTCTCTGCTCCTTCTCCCTTTTCCTCTACTTTCCCTTTGCCTCCTCCTCTACCTTATTTGTGAGAATTATGGCCATTAAGTCATTTTATCTTCAGTAGACAGGAGGGTTTTAAGATAACCAAGACTACTTTAAAACGACTGCTTCCTTGTACTCAGAAGTTCATGGGCCACTGAAGTTGTAAATCAAAAGCAGCAGCTACGAAGCTCTGCTGCATCAGAGATTCCTCCAAGGAATGCACTCCGCAGCAGGCGTAAAGATGAGAGGGGGGGTTGTTTGTTTTCCTAAATACCCACAGTACAGTGCATTTAATTTCCTTATACTTAAACAGGCAATTTACAGGCTAGGGGGGAAAAAATGGCTGACAAAACAGAATTCGGAAAAGCAGGGTGGACTTCCCCTTGCCCAGGTATTTATTTTCTCCCCTGTATTTTTTGAAGCCAATTTTGGAGAACTTTGCAAGGAGAACATCATTTGTTGTTCCAAGAAGAGGCAGCCTGCTTACCTAGATAAGAGGGGGCTATTTTTAACCTCCTATATCTAGAACTCTGAGAGATCAGGAGTTCTGATATTAGACAATAATCTGATAGGAACCTATGCCAGCAGTGGAAAATAATCCTTATCCTGATGGTAAAATTCAGTGAATAGGCCATTTCAGAGTATTAACAATGAAAAAAGAAAGGGAAAAGAAAAATATCCCAAGCTCTGAAACGATGGAGCATGTTAATAAAAAAAAATACATGGCAATATGATTTTTCTTTGATGAACTAAATTCTATTTCAAAATGAAAAAAAAAGCTAAGTTGATTGGAATGCACAGTCACGTATCACTTGATGACAGGGATATGTTCTGGGACATGCGTTCTCAGGTGAATTGTTTATTGGGTGACCATAAAAGAGTGTAGGCACAAACACCCAGCTGGCAAGGCCCATCATGCCCCTTGACTATCACCTTGCTCCTGGCATGTGAACCTTTAGCACATGTTCTAGTACAGGCAACTGCACCACAATGGGAAATGCTTATGTAACAAAGGAACGGGAAAAACACTAGGCAACAGGAAATCTTCCAGTTCCATTATAACCATATGGGACTGCTTACATACAGGTGGTCTGTCACTGAAACACCATTAATAAGGAAGATAAAAGAGATCAACCAGGGCATTCCTGGGGGCATGCCACACTCACCGGATTATCAATGTAGAGCATGGATAACGTGGTGGTCCAAGGGAATTCTCTGGCACGCACTGCTCAAAAAGAGAAAGGGTCTGAGAAGAGGAGCTCACAAAGCCTTCTCCTGTGGCCCAGCTGTGCTCGGGAGCCCAACACACCCACCTGCCCTCTGACCCTTGTTGCATCCTCATAGCTGGCAGCAGCAACAATTACAACAATCCCTTCTCCTCCCCTTTCCTTGTCCCAGACCACAGGGTTTCCACATCCAGGAAGATGTTCAGGGACAAACATCAGGCAACGAGTTCATGAAAAACGCCTTCCAAGACTACCCATGGTTCCATCCAACAACTCCACCCTGCTGTCCCACACTCTGGAATCCTCTTCCTCCCATCTGACTAGGAAAGCAGCAGTTTCCACAATACTGGCTTGGAAGCTTCTATTCTGAGTCACACCCAGGCTCACACTCCAAATCTTCATGCAGGAAAAGTAAACAACTTCTCCAAAGTGAAAACAGGGGTGGCGGTAACCCTGGGTTACACCAGATGTCACTCACTCTCCATCTCTCCCTCCACCCACAGAGTTAGGATCAACCCAGTCTCAGGTCATTAGAGTGACTGAACCATGAATTGTTGTTGGGTTCATGTGAATAATCTGGGGGTATGATTCCACCCGTTAGTCCTGGGCAAAAGACTTCTCCTGAATAATAATCAACAGCAACTGCCTCTGTAAGCTGAGAATGTTTGAGTCAGCGGCAGAGTTGGAGAAAACAGCTTAGAACCTTTCCCCCAGATTGCCTAGGAGCAAGAGGCCCCATCCACACATCCTCCACTGGTGCCTCCTGCTGGCACAGATGTTCTCAGAAATGCGTGGTTTTCTCATCTGGAACTGCTAAGCTATTTCCAAAAGCCCCAGGTCACTTTAAGATGGCTTGGTAGTAGATACAAGGCTGGGATGAGGAATTTCCCATGGGAAAACAGGCAATACTTACAGGTCATGTTCTTCAAGACGACGTATGGTCCGTGTTCCACAAACAGTCCAAACATGGATGAACCTCCTGGCCCACCCTGAAGCCAGAGGACTACTGGGGCATCCTCTGGTTGTATCTGGAGAGAACAGAGACACCAGTGACCATTCAGGACCCTCTCCTTCCTGAGGCTGTGAGTGGTGTCCCAAAAAACTGTCTCAAGCCCTCTCTTTTCTCTAAGACCTTGACTAAACCCCAGCAGTCCTTCAGAACCCCTAGCCAACACTCTGCCCTCGAAACCAAGTCCCTGCATGGATCTACTTCCACCTAGGAAGTGCATCTAGGGTAGGATTCGTCCATCTGACATGAGCATCCATCCCCAACAGAGGCACAACAAAGAATCCATTCTCTTCAGTTTTCCCCCCTCACCTTTACAACCTGCCCTTCAGATGTTATTCGTTTAAAAAAAAAATGCTCACAGGACCAGAGTAGCTTCTTTCACCATGGGGTTGGGAAAAGCTGAGACAGAGATATTAAGGAGTCATTCAGTCAATGCAAAAAACAAGAAAACCCTTCCCAAGGAGTGCATTTATTAGGAGATGTGGGGAAACCACAGAGAGTTGCTGGCAGGGCTGCCACGTGGAGAACCAATCCCCAGCAGCACTGTCACTTCCATGACAAGGGCCTCTTCATTCTTTCATTTAACACATGTTTATTGAGCACCTAGCAGAGCCAGGCACAACTCTGAGGATTACATATGTGGTAGTGCAGAAAATGAGGAAAGAAAAGGTGTTGAAGCCTTAATAACGTGGAATATACAGTGAGTCAGTGAATAAATGAATACTACGATGATGAGTGAAGGGAAATGGCAACAGGGGGATGTGGTGAGAGCCAGGAGGGTGCAGAAGTGGAGAGGATCACTCCAGGCTGGGGGAGTAGAAAACGTGTCAGTGACATTGTGAGAGCCAAGCCAGGTCTTGCAGGCTGGGAAGGACCCAGCCACCAGGAGGGCCATGGAGCTGACTGCCAATGGAGAGGCAGGGCAGGGGCAAATCCCCACGACAAGGATGGGAAGAACCAGGTGTCGGGGAGCAGCACAGCCTTACCACGTACGTGGCAGGGCCCCTGGCAAGAGGCTCTGCTCGGCCTGAACTCAGCTCAGAAGACAGCAGGGTAGGCCCTCGCTGGATGTCATGGCCCACTAGCCGATGAGTCTGTGCAACTCAGGAAGCAAGATCCTACTGCTTCAGCCCAAAACAAAGGGCAGCGATGTCTCATGTAGCCACGTGGTGCTTAACAACTGAGGAGTCTTGGGAAGGACCAGGATTTGGGTCCCTGCCACCCATGACCCAGATCTGGACTGTACTCATGGTACTGGCTGGCTCTGGCTCTGACCCAGAATCTGTAGGAATTTGGGGAATGGATCAGTGGATGGAAGAGCTCTTTCTGTCTCTTGAATAAATTATTTTTTAAAAAAATAATGAAGATGTGGGGCCAGTATTGTGGCACAGCAAATTAAGCCGCCACTTGCAATGCCAGCATTACAGCACCAGTGCAAACCCTGGATGCTCCATTTCTCACCCAGTTTCCTGCTAATGCACCTAGGAAAGCAGCAGAAGGATTGCTCAAGTGCTTGGACCAATGCCATCCAGGTGGGAGATGGGCATGGAATTCCTGGCTCCTGGTGTAAGCCAGGCCAGAACAATCTGTTGTAGCTAGTTAGGGAGTGAATCAAGTAGGTATGAGATCCCCTTCTTTCTTTGCCTTTCAAGTAAATATGTAAACCATTAAAAAAAAAAAAAAGATGTGAGGGAGCAGAGTGCGCCCTGGAGTTGGGAGCCAGGCAGGTCCTGGCTCTACCTCGCCACACAGTAGCTGTGACACCCTGGTACTCGGCCTCCTCCTGCCCTGAGTTTCTCTACCGGGCAAATGGCTGTAATGCCTCCCTCCCAGGCTTGCCCAAAGGCTCTGAGAAAAGCCATCTGAAATGATAGACTCCAATGTGTGAAATACTCATAAGCATAACCAGTTCTGTCCCAACCTGACTGCACCCCCAGCTTATTTTTTGCTCAAACATGTGATTTTTACCTCCTCTTCCTTGCTATCTGATAACACTCCCCTGGGCCATCTTCTCCCTGGACTCACTTGGCCATGGGAACAAATGGCATGCATCAGAGGTGAGTCAACCAGGGGATATGGACGAACATCCTCCCATCCGCCTGTAGGGGAGAAGTCGTGCATTCACTAGCTTCCCACACCCTGCCTGCACTTCACTAACATACACGTGAACCTGCCAAGGCCACGGTAAACCACAAGCAAGCCAGGGGCGTCTCAGCCTTGACCACATGTAAAAATAGTTTCAAGAGCTTTTGTAAAAATACCGCTCAGAGAGCTTTTGTAAAAATACTGTTTGGGCCCAAAGACTGTAACTGCCTGGACAGACAGTGATGGGGCAAGCCTCACTGCGTATCTCCAGGAGCTCCCAGGTGGTTCTGCTGTGAATGGGGGACAGAGATCTGCAAGATAAATGGGGATGTTGTTCTTCTGGATACCCCAGGCCTTTTGATCTCCACACTTCCTCCCTTGCCCTTCTCTGTCCTCTCCTGCGACCTGGCACAATGAGCAGGGCCTGAGGGCTCTCAGAAAAACAGTGTGACTCTAAGAGGTAGCACTATAAAGTCAAGCCAAATGCTGCTGGGGGGAAGTGCGGGGGCAAGCATCTTTATTTTGCAATAGTAAAGCACAGGACGCTGCATTCTTGGAATGCCTCTATCAGGAGAGATCTGGGCACACACCTCCTGCCTCAGCTGACCTGGCTCCTCACAGGCACTTCTCTGAAGCAGATGAGTGAGGCTCAACAACCCTTGAAGAAGCCTGTTTGGAAAGGAAACCGCCTGCAAACATCTTTCCACTTTGATGAGCCAACTAACCAGTGAACTAACATGACCCTTGTCTGGAAAGTTCCCTTAGCTAGCTCATGGACAACTGAACACAAAAGTCAGGCTCTAGGAAACAAACGGGTAGGTTTCATGTCAAAACTCCAACAGCCAATTGCATCATGGCACACAGATTTACACAGTATACTGTGTCATATAATATTCTGTCCATAATGATGTGAAATGATTACAAAATAATTTTTAAAGAAACATAATCAGCTCTCAACCACAGATATGAAGCCTGTTCTCATTCTTTACCCTCTTCTTGGAAAAGGATAAATGTAAATGAAGCCATCCTGTCACCTAACTTGACCTACAGTGTTATAAAACTCAGGGCTTTAGAAATATTGATCAGGACCCAGCATGACATTTCAGTGACTAAAGTAGTCACCTGGGTGCACCGGGATCCCATACGGGCACCAGTTCTGGTCCTGGGAGCCCCGCTTCCCATTCAGCTCCCTGCCTGTAGCCTGGAAGGGCAGTGGAGGACAGCCCAGGGCCTTGGAACCCTGCACCACATGGGAGACCGGGAGGAGGCTCCTGGCTTTGGATTGACTCGGCTCCGGCCGTGTGGCCACTTAGGGAGTGAACCGTTAGAAGGAAGATCTTCCTCTCTTTTTCTTCCTCTCTGTACGTCTGTTTTTCCAATAAAAATAAGTGGGTTATTGAAAGGAAAAAAAAAGGAAATATTGATCAAACTGAAGCTGCTCCTCAAGTGTGTATGAAATAAGAGGATCTGTATCTCCCTAGCTTTAAAAAAAATCTTTAAAATCTTTTTTTATTATGGAAACTACTTTTAGGACGGGGCCAGTGCCATGACATAGCAGGTGCCAGCATCCCACATGGATGCCATTTGAGCCCTAGCTGTTCCATCTCTGGTCCAGCTCCCTGATAATGTAGCTGCGAAAGCAGTAGAGGATGGCCCACGTCCCTGCATCCTCATGAGATACCCAAAGGAAGCTCCTGCTTTGGACTTCAGATCAGCTTGGCTCCAGCCGCTGCAGCCACTTGGGGAGTGAACCAATAGATGAAGATCCGGTAGACGGAATGTAACTCTTCATTTTCTCTCTCACTCTGCCTTTCCCCCTCTCTGCAACTCTGCATTTCAGATAAATAATCAGTCACCTAAGAGGTTTTCATCATGACTTTGCTGTTTTTGCCGTGTATTTCTTATTGGCATAAGACAGTATTTACTGATGAATCACTCATATTCATGCTTACAATTAAAAAAATACAAATAAGCACTTTTAAAAGCAATTTTTACTTACTGATTTAAACATAGACAGAAAGACAGAGTATGATCTGCTGGCACATTCCTTAAATGCCCATGAGGCCTGGGGCTGCGTCCGGCAGAACTCAATCCGAGTTTCTCCCCTGGGTGGGAGGGACCTCCCAGGGTGCGCATCATCAAGAAGCTGGAACCACCATCAGAGCGGTGACTTGAACCAGGCACTCTGACACGAATGCATGGGTTTCACGTGGCACCCTGACTACTCCCCAACATTTAACATTAACAACATAAAACATTAACAACGTTTTATTTTTCCCAATTTAGGTTTTTTAAAACCCTCCTTCCCTTACCAATCACGTTTCCTGGAAGCAACTGGGGAAATATGTACTCTTCCAAATTTTTCCCTACACCCTGTCCCCTAAAATAAATGTATGTATACATTTTATAGATATTACATATATGCTACATATAAATCCTTACTTTTCTCCCCCACAATATAGTCAACAGATAATTGTCTGTATTTACTTAATGTGCTGTGGCATTTCTTTCTCTTTGGCCATCATTTGGCTGAATGTTCAACACAATTTTGAACACCAGCAGAGCCCTGCCTAGGCCTGTGGATGTGCAATACAGGAACACGTGATGGGTGACAGTGTGAGTCCTAGGGTCAGACTGTTAAGGTCTGAACTCCAACAAGGTGTGTTCACAGCTGTGTGCCCATGAATCAACCCTCTGTGTCACAGGATTCTAGGCTTAGAACTGAAGGTAGGAACAACACCTGTCACCTCAGGTGGGGTGGGTGGATCAGAGGCCATCAGTACATGCACAGCACTTAGTGCACCTCAGTGAGTTAGCTCTGATTATTTCTCTGCTGGTGTCAGCAGTCAGGTAATAAATAAATAACTGGAAAAAAAAGGATAGCATAAAAGAGCAGTGGAGGGACACTAGATGGAGCACCCAAAGAGGGCTTAA